GGCCCCAAGCACCGTTGTATCAGAATGCCCTCAAAGCATCCCAAAATGTGTCTTGAATGCCGCCGCCAAAGACGCAAGACTGAGAAGGGCTATACAGTGGTTACCCGCACTGGTTGCATTAGCTGTAACATTCACCTGTGCCGGGAGCGCTGCTTTTTTCAGTACCATGCTGCAGAGGATGTTACCATCCACTAGATGAAGACCCAAGAGGAGACAACGGACAGACCACTTTCTCATCAACCAAATAAGGTGAAAATAAAAGAAACCTGAAAGCATTACTCAAGAAATGAGCCTTTTCAAAAAAATAATGAAAAAATATAAGAAATCTAAAAGCCAATGATTGAAGAAATTAGCCTTTCCCCCAAAAAAAAGAGAAAATAAAAGGCAATGATTGTAAAACTGAGCCTTTCCACAAAAAAAAAACTTGATGTGTTTCAAAAAGTTTAGGTGGTTATCTGCGGGTATGAGGGATGTATGTTATTGTACTGGGGAGTAACTCTACCTTTCAAAACATTTCGGAAGGTTTTGAAAGGTCAAACCATACATGTATAGCAACTTTAAAGATATCTGTTGAGCAGTATCTCCACCTTTCAAATCCTTTCGAAAGGTTTTGGAAGGTCTGGCAGTTTTCTGATAGACTTCCCATACCTCTGTCATAGGAGTATACCATAGCCCAATTTTTCTACCTTTCAATACCTTTCAAAAGGTTTTGAAAGGTGTAGTAGTGCACAAACAACAAAATCTGGAGTGTTTTGAAAGGTCTTCATTTTTTTGTGGTCATTCACCCAGCAAGCAAATTTTGAAAGGTTTTGAAAGGTCAGAAAATAGGAGAGGTCTGGCTATAGCCATACCATCATTCATGTACCAGTAATAAAAGATTGAAACATACTACTTGTAGAAAGATCCAAGGACCAAAATGTTTCGGTAACGGAATTACGTCAGAAAATGAACTTTTTCAAACATAATTTGAAAAGGAAATTCTCTGAAATCTATAACATGAAGACCACAGCTACACACTTAACTGTTTTCCCTATGGTTTCAATTTTATTGTAGCAGAAGTTTCAGGGTATTGATATTTACAAATATTCCACACTCGGTCATTTTTCAAAAAGAGGCAGTGGTATAAGTGGAATTACAGAAAACTGTAACGGAATTACACTTGTGAAATGCACCTTGAAAAATGCCAATTCTTGAAAAGCAGTTGTTTTTTTATTACTCTTGGCATGTTTTTCAGCTGAAATCATATAAAATAAACCATAATTCAATGCACCTGTATGCCCCGCTGAAAGATAATTCAATTTTTGTACCTAGCATGTGTGCCGAATAACTTCATCTGACATCATGTGCATTATCCCAAAGTATTGAGATAGTCAACATGTGCTGAATGAGCTCATCTTTTGGCACAAATCATTCAAACTACAATAAACATTGAAAACAAAGAGTCTTGTACTACTGCAATGCAGTCATGTACATGTACACTGCAGGTATCTGGAGTGAATTGATCAATGACCAAAGGTAAGTGTAAATACATGTATCCAAATACAAGCTATCATAGTTGATTATCTATAGTCAACTGGTATTCAGTACATGTAGGAGACTTGTACATACATGTACATGTAGTGCTCAAAAAGAAAAA